TTAGGGTTTAGGGGGTTTAGGGATTGCTAGACAATGTTTAAGGGCTTTGCGCAGCCTACCAAGGTCTTGTAGAGGTTGTTTCAGAATCGTCTTACATGGTTCTTTGGGGGATTTTGAACCCCTAACCCCGGAAAGCCCACATACTGACATCTACGAGCAGCGCGATCAGTCGGAAACAGAGATCGTAGCAGTGAAACCTGAACCTTACACTTAAAACCCCTAAACCCTAAGCCTGAGACTCTCAGCTCTTTGCCCCCAAAACCCGAAACCTCCTAAGCGCTTGAGCCTGAGAAATGCTCAAGCACGACCCGAAAAACCAGTAACATGCCAAAACTTGTCCCTTGAACCCAAAGCCTTACGGCCCATTCCAGAATCTAGGACCCTAAACCCTAAACCCTAAACCCCTAAACCCTAAAGCCCTAAACCCTAAAGCCCTAAACCCTAAACCCTGAAACCCTAAACCCTGAAACCCAAGGATCACGCACTAAAACCTCCGAACAAAAAATCTCAAACCCTGAAGCCGGAAAGCCCGAGCCCCGATGCTCCACTGCTCCTTTGAAAGAAACGCATCTTAGGTTTTAGGGTTTAGGGTTTAGGGTTCAGGGTTTAAGGTTTAGGGTTTAGGGTTTAGGGTCAATTTTTGTTGTCTTGGAGGCCCTTTACAGCAATGAAGGGTAACAAAATCGCATTCTCTGCTCTAGACGTCGATCCCGCCGCTCTAAGACTCTGCAAAGACATGAAGCCCTGAACCAAAAGAGCACCCTAAAAAGCTTAAAGGTTGGGTACTGGAGAACTAAGAGTACTAGAAACCCTGACCCTTGCAAAAGCCCTGAAGAAACCCATTGTAAAGCCCATTCTTCAAGAACTCCAAGACACTATAAGAACCGACAAAACTCCAAATCTGTCTAAGAAATCCTTTTGACTTCCTTGTAAACCCAAACAAAACCCGATCTAAAACCCCTCAATGATCGATCCATGAACCCTAAACCCCTAAACCCTAAGCCCTAAACCTCCCAAAACCCTAAGATCCCAGGCACACAAGCTCACTGTCTCCCCCTGCGCTGGCTTGCCCCCAGGTCGCCACAGAGCCATCCTAACCAGGGCTTTTAAGGGTTTAGGGTTTAGGGTTTAGGGTTTAGGGAAGGGTTCCTTTAAAGGGAGGGTGGGACCTACAGCTGATGATATACATCCTGCATTACCCTACGGACCCTAAACTATGGGAAGTATGGTGTGTCCCATATGATGGGTAATGCAGGAGCTATGTCACCAGCCATAGTAAGTAAGGTTATAAATGATGTAACTATAGTCCCACCTACTTATAACCCCAACTGAGGTAGTTGCAACTTATAACCTTACTCACGAAGTCCCAGGGATCCTCCAAGTAAGGGGTTCCTTTAAGTTTAGGGTTTGGGGGTTCATACCTTTATTCAGGGTTCATACGGTTGATGATATAAACCCTGCATTACCCATAAGAAGGAATATACCATGACTCCCAGAGGCTAGGGTCCGCAAGGTCATGCAGGATTTTTATCGTCAACAGTACTTGAAGGATTCCTTCAGTATACTTTTTGGAGCTAGACCCTAAACCCTAAACCCTAAGCCCTAAACCCTAAACCCTAAGCCCTAAACCCTAAGCCCTAAACCCTAAACCGTATCAACCTTGAAGCCCAAGGATCACCCAGGATGGCCGCAAAAGCCGTGGAAGAGGCAGCTACCGCCACCTCCGGGCGTATACGAAGATTTCCGAGGCATCAGGAGTTTGTTGGGGGTGCTCCCTGCTGATGATCTAAAGCCTGCATTACCTTAAGGACCCTAAACTATGGGAAATATGGGTATATTCCATAATTATGGGCAATGCAGGGTTCATCTCATCAACCGTCCCCTCACTTGCCTGAACTCCCTGGTTCGTAATAGGAGATGGGGGAATGGGTCAAAGGGACTCGGGATCCATACCCTGATTCCCTACTAAGAACCAGGGCGTACAGCCTAGTTTGGGGCACCAACGAGGTCGCTTAAGTGCGAACTTTTGCCAGCAAAGCACAGAGGCCTTGGAGGGTGCGCAAAAGTTGTTTTATATCGGGTATAAAGAGCGATGCATAAAGTGATTCAAGACGTTGTGGTGACTTGGAGGGTTGTAAGTACTGTATAGTACTGTGTTTGAGGCTATGAAGATCTGTGGCTACAAAATCCTCACTTATTGCCCTGCTTCACGCTACCTCGGAACCTTAAACCTTCGCCCTAGACCCTAAAAGCGTGTAAACCCTAAAGCCACCAAAACCCTGCAAACACTCAAAACAATTCAAAAACCAAACCCCTAAACCACAACCCAGTTTTGCTTTCAGGCCGACAAAGACGGGCTCATGGTCTGGGAAATGAAAGCTGAACCATAAAGTCCGGAAACCCCAGGCCAAAGCCCCAAATCTCAAATCTTTACCCCAAAATCTTCAAATCCTGCCTACACAACCCCTCTACAAACCCTGCAGGAACCCTTGGAATAGGAGCCCTACACACCCTAAACCCGCTGGGAACCCTTCACAAAAGCACCCCAACCCCTCAGGCTCGACACCACCCACGTTTAGGGTTTAGGGTTTAGGGTTTTGGGGTTTTGGAGTTTAAATAGGGGTTTAGGGGTTTAGGGGTTAGGGTTTAGGGTTTGCCACCCCTGAACCGCGGAACTTCAAAAGGCAGCGCTGGGGTCCATGACCCAACTTTTTGCGGCCTTCATTGCACGGTTTAGGGTTTTAGGGTTTAGGGTTTAGGGAAATATCGTTTTGGGCAGAATATACCATGTTTAGAGGAAGGAACCCTAACAAGTGGTAGCACTAATTATTCAGCACTATAGAACCAATTTAGGATTACGGCTATAGGGTTTGGGGTCTAAGGTCTTGGGTTTAAGTTTTAGGGTGTAAGGTTTAGCGTGTAGGTTTAGGGCTTGCAGATACTAAGATTGTAGCTGTCGAGTTTTAGGGCCGCGACCCTCAAGGAGGGGGCAGTCAAAATGAGGATGCTGATCACTGGAACATACTGGAACCGAGCCCACAGAGGTTCAATGAGACAAATCACCAGCAATCACACCAAAACCCTAAACCCTAAACCCTAAACCCTAAACCCTAAACCCTAAACCCTGCTGCTTTTCGGAGGGAGGCTGAAGCTCGACTTGAGGACAGCGGTGGCCCCAGGAGGGTCCCTCGCTGCGTGGCAGAAAAAGCATCCACGGTTTGGCAGCACAGCCTCACAACGAAATTCCGCCTGGAGGAGGGAATCAAGGTCGAGGTCCGTTTTCATTTCCTGTGCCACTCGAGCACAACAACCGCTTGTTTCACCACCGACAAGACGTCCGCTTCTTCACTGGAAAAGATGCTTTCCTTGACCAGCCAGCATCTTCTTTGCTGGCAGGGAGCACAAACGAATTTCCGGTTTCGGGTGGGAAAGGAATTTGGGTGGGCTCAGGCAAGATGTATTTAAATCCTAAAACATAAACCCCAAGAAGGCCCTGACAGGAGCCCTTTCAAGAACCCCCTGAGAAAACCCGCCCGCCTGGCGGATCTGAAAAGTCAAAGCATCCCCAAGCTGGAGACCAGCGTCGGCCAATGTGTCCTTGGTTTAGGGAAGGCTCTTTTTCAGCCCCATAATGCTATGAGGAGTTTCCTATGACAGCTACAATAAGGGCTGTCATGAAGGTGATTGTAAGGGTTTCCAGCAAGGTTGAGTGGGTTTGGGGGTTATTAAGGATCGGGGGTTTAGGGGTTATGGCTTAAAATTCTTCAAGACGGGGACTACAAGGATTCTGTTATAGGGCTATTTTGGGGCTTTGTATTGGGGACCTTAATAATCAAAGCGGGGGTTGGGTGTATATATGAAGGGTCTGAACCTTGAACCCTAAAGTTTTGAGGGTTTGGGGACTAGGGGTGGTCGTAGGTTTCCTGAACTGTAGAAGTGACAACTTTTGAAGGCCAAAGGGGTAAGGGGAGGGTTTAGGGCTCAAGGTTTAGAGTTTCGAAAGTTGATGAAGTTGAAGATGACTTACTGCATGGTGATTTCTTCCTAGGGCCCCAAGATTTGGGTTTCGGCATGTGAGACTTTTCACAAACCTGAAAAAGCCCTGGGCCCCGGACCCGAACCCTCCAAAACCACCCTAAACTCTACACCCTGAAACCCCGAAACCCGAAGTCCCAACCCTAATCCCTGAACCCTAAACCCTAAACCCCGATCCCTACACCCTCAACGCTGGCCACCCCGGTAGGTGGAGCAGCTGTTGGCTTTGACGTCAACACCAAGCCTCCGTCCCACGCAAGAGCTGCCCAGAACCGCTCAGGAGATTCCTAGTCTGCGACAGTGAATGTAGGGGCCGGCAGGGGCTTTCATAGTAAGAACATACTTCCTTTAACGGGTTCATTCGAAAAGCTCTACAAGGGGGTCTACAGCAAGGGCCCACACAGAACACAAACCTGAATACAATCCGAATGCTGATGTCACAGAAGCACAGAAGCAGATCATATAATGGTTACTACAAGGTTACTACAAAAGAGACTAACCAGAAGACCTTAAACTCCAAACCCTATACCCTTAACCTCAAAGTTTAAAGCCTAAAACCCGAAACCCTCAACCTAAACAAAAGAACTCTCCTAAACCCTAAACCCTAAACCCAACTAAAAGAACTCACCTAAACCCTAAACCCTAAACCCTAAACCCTAAACCCAACTAAAAGAGCTTAAAGAGCTCTCTGATGGCCGAGGGCTCCCCCGACCCACGCCCAGTTGTGCCTGGGCTGCGCGACTCAGCTCCGCCACAAGCCGATCCTAAGCTCGGGGGAGGACGTTTAGGGTTTAGGGTTTAGAGTTTAGGATTTAGGGTTTAGGGTATAGGGTTTAGGGTTTAGGGTTTAGGGGTTTAGGGTTTAGGGTATAGGGTATAGGGGCCGTGTGAACTCACAAGGGTTCCTGCATAGGGTTCCTGAAAAGGCTGAGGGTTCAGAATTTAGGGTTTAGCATTTAGGGTTTAGAGGACTTGAGAATCAGAATATTGTTAAGTTTAAGGGTTCCTTGAAAGGGGTTTATGTAAAGGTTCTCTTCTAGGGGTCTTCCGGGGTTCTGTATAGGCGCTCCACCAAAAAATGGAATTGCTAATTACACAGTCATGCAGCCACTAAGCTCTACACCCTTAAGCGGACAAGCTCTAAACCCTTGAGCGGACAAGGTGCCGATTCCTTATAGGAACTCTTTAAGGAACCCTTTGAGGAGCCCTTTCAGGAACACTTTAACCTAAGCACCATTCTTAAGAACCCCCTTAAAAAACCAACGAAACCCTTAACCCTAAACCTCCTTGCAAACAAACACTATTAACCCCAGACGGTCCAAGCATCCAAATAATAGTGGGGTTTTAGGTTCCAGAGGAGTAGCTTTTTTGGTTCCCTACTTATTTGGGCACTTGAAGCCTTCAGTAACTAATCCTTATAGGTAGTTCTCTACATTCGGGTGCCTTTTTGGGGTCCCCCATATGGTACGGCACCCTTTTTCAAAGGACGCTGGAAGGTACCCTAATCTAGAGAATTACGCTCATAGTACCCCGTGTAGTCCTGAAGCCTCATAAGCAAGGCCACGAGGCCGATTCTAGGTCGCCACAAGAAGGCAGTAAACCCCAATTAGCCTTCAAGGAACTTCTTAAGGAGGGTCTAGAGTCTAGGGTTTAGGGTTTAGAGTTTAGGGCTTAGGGTTTAGGGTTTCGGGTTTAGGGTTTAGGTTTGGGGAACCCTTATAGGAACCTTTTACTCCCGTGCTAGCCTTTATCTACAGTCACCTTGTACTTCAGCTCAACAACCAAATACCCAAAGCCTAAACTAGGTAGACTTTAAAACTTCCCTTGTGGTTTCTATAGAGGGACCTATTCATAAATACTCCCTAGAGAACTGCTTTCAAGACCCCTTCAACAAACAAGATTAGAATAGGGCTTTGGGGATTCCTTATTATAATTATTATTGTTATTTAAAAAAGTATTTTATACCCCCAAACCCTATTCTAACTATGAAGGCCCCTATGTTAAACCCCCTACAGAACCGGTTGGTAACCCTTCCAAGAACCCTTCAACAAGCAAGTGGCCGACTCCAGCTCGACTGTCGCAGTCTTCCCACTCAGGAGGGACACTTCGACTCGAATGCAGGACATGGCGGCGACCCGCTCGACAAAAGGGTTCAAGTGTAGGGTTCGAGGCTTCAGGGTTGAGAGTTTGGGGTTGAGGGCTTAGGGGTTACTTGCTTCAAAAACGGGCTGCTTAGGGCTTGTAGAAGTTTTGCTTGTCGGCTTACAGGGGACTTGTTCAAGGGTGCTACGGCTTCTTATCAGGTTCTTACAGGGTTTCTCAGTTGCTCATCGGGGAATGTAAGCCTTCGTGCAGACATCTGAATCAGACTGGACCTAGTGTGTTGGTCTGCGGCTCAGAAACCTTAAACCCTAGACCCTAAACCCTAAACCCTTAGAAACCCTGAACACTAGACCCTAAACCCTTATAGACCCTAAACCCTAAACCCTAGACCCTAAACCCTAATCCCTGATCCCTCAACCCTAAACCCTAAGCCCAAAGCCCTTCAGGCTTTAGAGATCAAGGTCTTCGCGCAGGGAAAAACCCAAGGGAACCCCCCCGTCCTCCAAAACCTGAAGCCCTAAGATAAAGCCAAGCTTTAGATGCCTTTCTTTGGGGGGAGGGGTTTAGGGTTTAGGGTTTACGGGTTGCGGGTTTAGGGTGAAGATAAAGCCAAATTGTAGGGGCCTTTTTTTAGGGTCTACGGAGTCTAGGGTTTAGGGTTTAGGGGTTTAGGGTTTACGGGTTTAGGGCTTAGGGTTTAGGGTTTGGGGGCCTTAATGATTAGAATGGCGTTTTGGGACTTCCTTATGATAACTATAGTAAAAGCCTAATGTAGGGGCCGTTTTGGGGGGGCTACTTCTTGTGATCATAGTATAAAAATGCCCCCAAACCCTATTCTACTTAGAACAGGGTTCCTTCGGCTTCCTTATTATAACTTTAGGATAATATATCCCCAAAGCCCTAGCCTAATATATGAAGGCCCCTAAACCCTAAACCCGTAAACCCGTAAACCCTAAACCCTAGTATAAAATATCCCCAAGCCTTATTCTAATTCCCTAAACCCTAAACCCTAAACCCGTAAAACCCTAAACCCTAAACCCTAGTGTAAAATCCCTATTCTAATTACGAAGGCCCCTATGGTACAACCCTTCAGCCTTCAACCTGGAGCCCTCTGCTGCGGACGTCAGGCATGCAAAGCTCTCGGGCTGGAAGCACGGGCCGAGGATTCATGGGTTTAGGGTTTAGGGATTAGGGATTAGGGTTTAGGGATTAGGGTTTAGGGTTTAGGGTTTAGGGTTTAGGGTTTAGGGATTAGGCTTTAGGGTTTAGGGATTAGGGTTTAGGGTTTAGGGTTTAGGGCTTAGGGTTTAGGGTTTAGGGTTTAGGGTTTAGGGTTTAGTCAACACAAGACGCTCACACTGCCGGGAGCCCAAACACGCAATCCACAGTCCTAAGCCTCAAACCCTGAACCCTAAACCGCTGCTGAGTCCTCGGGTAGAGTGTAAACCCCAAATCATAGGCGGGTATCTAACCCCTAAACATCCCCAAACCCTAAACCGCGAAAGCCCACAACCCTCACGCCCTAACCCTGAACGTGAATCTAAACCCCAAGAGCTCCTGCACCCTGCAACCAGAAACCCTGCATCCTAACTCCGGAGAAAAGCGTATGCACCAACCCAAAGCATAACCATTGAAAGATAAACGTGATGATGATGATGATGATGGCGCTGATGATGATGATGCTGCTGATGATGATGATGACCATGATGATACTGTTGATGATGATGACGACAATGGTGATGATGATGAGGAGGAGGAGGGTAATGGTGGTGGTGGTGATGATGATGACGATGGTGATAATGATGACGATGATGACGAGTGTCATGGTGATGGTCATTTTCCCTCTTATTAGAATTACTGCTATCCTTACTTTGATTTTTAGTGTTGTGATTGTTTCTATTATGATTGTGATTATTATTATTATCATTGGATCCAGAGGTAGTAGTAGCAGTAGTAGTAGAAGTATTCAAGTAGTAACAGTAGTAGTAGTAGTAGTAGTAGTAGTCGTCGTCGTCGTCGTCATCGTCGTCGTCGTTGTATCAGAAAGTCAACAGCTCCGGTGCCTTATGCACTGCTGCTGTGACGGTCCATTGGGCGCCGTCCTTGGCATTCGGAGTTGTGCAAGGTTGAAGGCTCAGGGCTTTGGGCTTGCGGCATGAAGGGGTTTAGGGCTTAGGGGTTAGGGTTGTTTAGGGCGTAGGGCATAGGATGTGAGAGTCCAAGAATTTAGGGCTTGGGGCTCAGTGGCTTCAGGACGTACAATAAGCTTCCGGGACCCCAATATCATTGCTTGTTTTCAACCGCCCCGTGGGTTTGCAGAAGAGTAGGAATGAGAAATGCCCAGCTTACGGCCTAGAGTTTCGAATTCAGGGATCGAAGTTCAAGGTTTAGGGTCTGAGGCGTTAGGGCTTAGGTTTTTGCGCAGGGTATAGGGCTCAGGGATTAGAGTTATTTCGGGTTAAGGTTTAGGAGGTGAGCACTCGGATCTTCCAATATCATTTAAAACGGAATCTTCCGCGACACCAGGACCCGTACCGCAATTTAAGGGAAGACAGGGACTTACCCGTAACCTCAAACTGTAAGGAACAGAAGGTCATGACCCCATTCACACCCTAAAGCCTTAACCCCTTGAGCCCTAAATCCAGAGCCCTTGAATCCTGACACCATAAATCTTATCCAACCCCAAATAGCCTGTCTCTCTATATAGATATGGATATCGTAATAGAGAACCACAAAAAAAGTAGGTGAGTTGGGGTCCAGGCAAAGCTGTCCCTCCAGGTACGGCCGTCTCTAGGTAGGCTAATACCCAGAAGCTGCAGCTGTAGCAGTCTGACTCTCTGAAGTCGTTCTCCGACGCCTTCACACCTCTGTCGCGATGGCTCTGTGCAATGCAACGTTTAGTCCAATTGGATTCTTTTGACAAACTACTTATCAGTTTTTTCACCAACGAACCGCTGCTCTCAGCGCCCTGATAAAAATAGTGCCCCAGTCGATGCTGTTTTCCAGGTCTTGAAACAGGCTTCTGACAAAAAGCCATCTTGCCGGTAATCTGGGAACCAGCAAATGTGTGTGAGTCAATCTGGTCAACCGCAGGGGTAGCAGACAAGTTGATAACTCCATCATTCACCAAAGATGGTCGAATCGTTACTGTCGTCATAAACAGCAAAGAAACCCTTATACTGTT